AGAATAATATCTTTTTATTTATTGTCCATTAAGTATTTTTGCCTACAAAAGAGCCATGGCCGTAGTAATATTATCTCTTGTCCACTATAAAATAGCATCACCCCTGCATTGCTGACTGTTATAATGGGAACTATACTGACCTGTATATTAAATTTAACTAGTATTTTCTATTGCAGACAATTGGGAGAATGCCATTTGTTTGCTGGTTTTTTTTTTCTTTTAAAACAATCAGAAAATCTTCCCCAAAAACTGTTTGCTAAGAACTTTTTTTTAAAAGTCTGTGAAGTTAAATTGTCAAAAGTTGGCAGTTGCTGCTTCTTTGTGCACATAGTGTTTTACAATTGGTAACTGTGATTACTATTTTTTATGCACAACACCTGAATGCTCTAGCATCTCCTTTAACTTTTCAATGTTTTTACAGAAAATTTAAAGAAAAAATAGTCAAGTTAAATCCAATAACTTTCTTGAGACAGTGAAAGTTCTAGCATGCCTGCAGGTTTTCTAAGGTTTATCATTTTCAGTGGGAAAGTTAAGCACCTTTTTCTGAATCTGAATTAAAGTACTTTGTAAGAAGAAACTGAGAAGGCTCTGTAATGGTATAGGTTAAACATTTGGTTACACCTTTTATTAGACACTTAGCAATTAATCTTTTGCTTTATGAATTCTGGAGTAAACAATTTTTTTCTTGGTCATCAAGATCATTTTTAAATATTCCCAAGATGTTTCTCTCCAGCTGTTACTCTGCTCATGCTTTCCTTCATCATCATTATAGCAAAGACAGCAAAGAACAGCTGTGACCAATGCATATCTTATTGCTGTCTTTGGCAAGCAGAGCGTGCATCATATTTCATATCTCCCACCCTTTGCTGAAATATATAAACTATCAGCTATTATTCATTCCTCTTGTATCTGACTCATATAAAATTATTACTAAAGATTAAGCAATTTGAAGTAAGTGCAGTAGGAAGTTCTTCAAGAACATGAAGAACAAAACATAAGGAAAGACATAAGGAAACCTGGTTAAATTAATCTTAGATGAGCCTCAAGACAGATGGATTCAGGGACTGAACTAAACCAGAGCAAGATGTGTCTTACCAGTAACTTCATTAGACTTTGCAGTAATACTTGAAGTTTGTTTCACACACTAACTACTGAATACTTTTTTTTTCCTCCTCATTCAGTAAGGGCTACACAGACATAGTGAAAATCCCAGAAGGGGCAACTCACATCAAAGTTCGGCAGTTCAAGATTAAGGACCAGAGCAGGTTCACTGCCTACCTGGCCTTGAAAAAGAAAAATGGTGAGTACCTGATAAATGGGAAATATATGATCTCCACTTCGGAAACTATCATTGACATCAACGGGACTGTCATGAACTATAGTGGCTGGAGTCACAGAGATGATTTCTTGCATGCAATGGGACATTCTGCCACGAAAGAGATTCTTATTGTGCAGATACTTGCAACTGACCCAACTCAACCAGTGGATGTCCGTTATAGTTTCTTTGTGCCAAAGAAGCAAGGGCAAATGACTAATTCTGTCACCAGCAATGGCAGCATCAACAAAGTAACTCCGCAGCTCATGCAGCCACGGTGGGTTACGGGACCATGGCTTTCTTGTTCTCGAACATGCGACACAGGATGGCACACCAGAACTGTCCAGTGCAAAGATGGGCATGGAAAATTAGCTAAAGGATGTCTCCTCTCACAGCGACCATCAGCATTTAAACAGTGCTTGCTAAAAAAGTGTTAACCTGTGGTTGTGATCTTCTTTAAAAGAGATTTGATTAAGCCATCATTGACATACTGGTATTAGGTCTGCCCAGTCAGAGAGAAGCAAGGCTTCAAAGTACTTACATACAGTCTCAAATTATGGGCAGAATCTGCCTATTTGGACCAAATGAAGATGTGCACTGCTTTAAATAATAGTAGAGTGATCTTGATGATACGTCAAACTAAGCAGGAAAGTTATAAGCCCTCTGTGTCTGCAAAAATATAAAACAAAGGAAAAAAAAAAGAAGAAAAACTGGTGAATGGAGGATCCTTGGATATTTGAAGGTTACAGAATCATCTCCCCTTTTTCACCTACCTCTAATACAGTATGTCCTTAGAAAGCGTCACACGTATCCATGATACCACAGTAGCTTATTTTATACTGTTTTGTAAATATCTTTCATTTGGTATGTCACTTTATATCACTGGTTCTATTAAAAAAGTCAAAAAGCAAACTATATAAGCAAAATGATTGACCAAAGTATATCTGCAGCCTTTGGACTTGGTCCGTTCTTCAGAAATGGCTGCAGATGTTTTACTGGAAAATGAAAAGCTTGCTGCTGTTTTTAAAAAGTAATACTCTCTCTGTTTTTTGACAACAGGAAGTGCATTTACATTCTAGGAATTTCCTGACAGCAGAGCATAACCCTATGACAATGTGTTTCTACCAAGAAATTTGCAAAAGGAGCATTGCAGCAGCTTTTGGACAAGGGTCCCCAAGTGTGCATTGCTCACATAACAATACCATGAGCAACTCCTGACTGTATGTATGTCAGACTTGTATAGGAGGAGGCTTTTGGCTGCTTAGAAGGAATTTGGGTACACTTCGCTCGTGTAAACATTTCATTCCTTCTGAGCTTGTCACGCCTTGGGGACTTTCTTGCAAATGAATGATAGCTGCTAGCTCCTTCTTTCCATAAAACAAAAGCGTACTGTATTTTATAGAAACAAGTTAGAGAACCAAAAATTCCAGGTAAGATAACCAAGTGTCTTCTAACTCAGATATTCTGAGGCTGTGTTCAACTGCTTTCTCTGTTATTTTCTCTATGGCTTCCACCTTGAATCTAACAATGTATAATGCACCTACCCTTTCAAGAGGCTATAAAGGTCAAAAAAGCACAGCAAGCAGTTAATATTTTGTCACTGTTTTATCCATCATGTCTAACCATGGTATTGATCCTACCAGCAACTGTTTGTCACTATTTGTCTTCTGGGTTTTGTTTGTTTGTTCTAAGCTCTAGAAGTCATTCAAGTTTTGTTTATGTACCACATAAGGGAGGATCAGGAGACACTAAGAAGTCAAGCCACAGCAGGATGCGGAGGACTTACTTACCCAATATCAATAAGACTGTTTCCACAGTACAGGCATAGCTGTGGTGTGGTTTTTTTCTTTCTTTCTTTCTTTTTTGGGCGACAGCTTCTGAATCCCATTATTGCCTGGCAGAAGATCTGTGACAGAGGAAGTTCATCTCACCATACTCAGGTAGCAGGTGGAGGCCTGATAGGACCCCTACCAAAATTGCTTCCTTTCATTTCAGCAGGTTTTGAAATAAGCCCTAGAAAAACAGCTTTTAAAGTAAATGTGTGTAACACACTGCTGAAACTGCAAACCTGTATTTGATTCCCCAGATTATCCACCTCGCAGAATATGAGGCTATAGGAGGATTTTCAGATAATCCTCACAGCTGCAACTGAACACCTCTGGGTCTTTTCAAAAATCCCAGTTGTGAAGTCAGGAAAAAACTTGTTGGATTGTGTAGCCAAAAAGGGCAGATTTCACTCCAGGCTGATGCAAACATGTTTTTGCAACTGGGGTGTGTTTTTATGAACTCTAGAAAGCATGTGATGATTTCAAAATAGCCGAGCATTTCTCCATCTTCAAGAGTGAAACCTGGAGAAGGATCTATTTTTGTACTGTATTCTAAGTAAACAATAATAGGGACAAGTCCTCCTAGCTTGTCAAAATGAGCTTCAAAGGAATGTTACTCGTCATCTTAAGCTTTCACAACAGTATGCCTTCTTGTCAGGCATAGTCCTATGCAAAACTGTGGATCTTGAGGGAATTTCCCCAGTTAGTCACTGATCCCACCCTCACAACTTAGATCAAGGCTCTGAATATTTGTGGAGTTTTAGAAAGTTAGGATTCATCCCTTATCTAGTTATTAATCTAGGTGTTTCATTTTTAGAGTCTTATTTTCCTTATATTCCACACGTTTTCAAACCTCTCAATTTCAGAGTACATAGAAGATGTATCATGAGAGGAAAAATAAGGAGACTCAACGTTTACTCATGGACTTAATGTTTGTCTCAATACTGCTGTATTGTGGCATTTATTTTTCCTACATTTTAGCATTATAGAGACAAAATGTGAGTATTTGTGTTCAAATCATAGTAATAATTTATTATATATTCAAAAGAATGAGTATTTTGGATGTTATTCGAGCTCCAGAAGAGTAATGCCATAACGGGTATGAATTTAAAGCTTTCTTAGGTGAAGAGTATCTTTTTTCATAGAAAGAGTTTATTTATAAGAAGTAAAGAAATATGAAACCAAATCACTACAGTGATTTTTCTCTTTTCACCCATGTGGTTATGAAGCATGTTAACATGAGCGTAAAGAAGTTTATTTGGTCAGAGGGCAAAAGGGGCAGAGCAAAGAAAGCAGCCATGAAAGTAGATGGTAAATTAGGTCAGTGTGCTCTTCTTTCACACTTGCTCTTCAGATGTTCTTTGTGCAAAGACTCCAGTCCCAGGCTGTTCAGAGCCATTTCGTGTAACTGCTGAACACGAAGTTGGTGCACGGCATGTGACTTTGTCCCTGCAGCTTGTGCTCTGAGCTGGGTTCCTCCTAACTCACACTGTTCACGGAACTGTTTACATTAGCACTTCGGGCTGCCAGGCAGGATTCATAAAACACTTCCAAGAGGATAGAAACACTATTTAAGCAGCCCACGGGATTGCGCTTTGTGTGGAAGTAAGTCCTCTGTGGCATTAAATGCACTGCTTGGACTCTGGGCGACATCTCCAATGTCTTGGGTGGATTTGGACCCACTAGCATTGGTGTTTTGCAGAGCATCTGCCTTTTGGATAAGATGTTCTTGCTCGGAGAAAGCTTATCCTTTTCGGCTTGGCTGTAGACAAGCAAATTTAGCTGTCCTCCTGTGGAAACAGTTTTATCACAAGGGGGAGAGGGAGTAATCTTGTGGATTAATCACAAATGTTTAAAAAAAAAAAGCAACATAGCACTGAAAAAAATAAAATAATTTATTGTTTTTACAACTGGTATGTGAATGGATGTAATGAATTTATTTATTCTTATTTAACAAAAATACCAATTGTGCAAATTCTATATTTAAAATGTTTTGCTATCATCTGTTTCTCTCTTTCTCTCTCTCTCTTTTAATTTATGCTTCAAACTTGTGTTGAAAGTATGCCTTGTGAGTTTACATAATGTATGGCACTGGTTATTTTTATATGTTTTTGTTTAGAAAGCTTTCTGCATGGAACAGGAGTATATGTGTATACATGTGTACACACTGTATAGATATATATTCTTTCTTCTGCTACCACCTTTTTTGAGAGAAGTTGTGGATTTTTTTAACTTTGTGAAACCTCATGCTCAAAGCTCCATGTTACACTTTCCTTCTAAAGTCTCTCAACCAGCAAATCACAGAGGTCTGTGGACTAACATACTAGCTCCTAAGGAAATCAAACAACAAACTCTTTTCACATAGGTGCATACAGTTCATACTACGTGCCTTGCTGTTCTTACATCGAAGTCAATAGGAGTCCTTTCATTTCCTTCAATGGGAGCAAGTTCAGGCTCGTAGTGAGACCTCTATATGTGAATGAAGTTTCTCTGAGTTGTCAGGGTGCTGAATACTCTCTCATGCAGCTTTATATTTAAGTGAAACGTGATAAAGAAACTCTTTTTTGTGTGTTTCTTTGAAAATATACCTGAAATGTTACCTGATTTAATTCATGATGACTGAACCCTTATTAAAGGGGTTTTTTTTAAGGGTTTTTTTTTTCAGTCTTTCCATCTGTTATACATATAAATCAAAAGCCTCATTTGGAAGGTTTTTTAGTGTTCTACTTTGCTCAGTTCTAGCTCTTTGCACCCTGTCAGGCAAGCTAAACAACAACAAAAGCCATTCAAGTGTGTGCTCCCAGAGTCTCCTAAAAAAATCACAGTATCTAGTTGTTTCTCCTTCTCACACAGTCCGACTTCTGTTGAACGCAAAAGAGCTCATCTTAGGCTCCATGAGAGGGAAGAAAAATGCCAAAGAGACCAACCTGCAGCAGTATTTCTAGTCAGTGTATTTAACCATAGTGATTACTCCTCTGACCGTTCCACCTGAAGGGCAGTATTCCTGAGAGCGAACAACCTATTTCTTACTAGTGAAAGGTGGCCACAGTCCTATCAGTTGGATACTCCTGTGTTTGCTGCTCGCTAGGCTCCCTGAGCCCCCAATCCAGCCATGAGGCTTGAGATGAAATTAGAGCATCTGGTGGCTAATGCTTTCTCACTTAGGATGCGAGACCCATGCCAGAATCGAGGAAATTGCTGTGAGCCTTGACTCTGGTGAGCCTTAGGGCAGGCTCTAAATAGGATTTGTGAGGATGTAACATTAATTATTACGGTCTTTCAGCAATATATTTAGGTATGTGTTTCTCCTCATGTTAACGAATGCTGTGCTGTTCTGTGTCACTGAAGAAGAGGGAGCAATCGGCACTAGCCAAAATCACATCCTCTTAGCATAGATTGCACCTTTCAGGAAAAAAATACAGAGTTGCTAATTTGTTTTCAAAGGGATTTTTTTTAACTATGTATACATTGCATATTAGCTTGCAGATTAAAACCAGTTCTACGTTCTTGTTTCAGATAACATTGTAAATGCACATTTTAGCATGTCCACCTATATAATGACTCACAGCATGAGAGAAATTGTCAAGTTCCCAGCTGGCATCACAAAATGTACCTCTGTGGTTTAAACCATTTTAATAGTAGTGCAAGTGTTCAGTTTAAAAAACTCCGAACAGATTTGTAGTCTTTCAAGGGAATGATATGAGAACTTACCTTCAGATAGGCAGCACCAAACATCTAGATACTGTCCAGCTGCTCTCTGCACATCAGAGCTACAGGTCAAAAATAAAACTCGCAAGGTCGATTACTCTCCAAGCCATGAACAGAGCCTCATGGTAGCTGTGAGGACCCTAAGGTCCTTTCTGCATACATCATCTAAAATCTTGCAGAGTCAATATTGAAGTGTATACATAGACATGAAGAACTTAACTGTGGCTATTTTATACATAGACATGAAGACCTTAACTGTGGCTATATAGAAATACATATTTTTGATGTGAGCTTGTGTATGCATGTAGGTATGCACACACATGCACACACAAACGGGTATTTGGGACTCTGTTACTCTTACCCACAGGGCAAAGTAGTCACACTGGTTTTAGTTACACCTGTGTAAATTCAGAGTAACTTCATTTCATCATTTGACTTTGTAGGAGCTGCTTCAGACTTATACCACTCTAAGTGACGGCATAGTTTGTTCTTTAGTTTATAAGAACAGGTTTACATGATTTATCACACAAACTGTGAAATTTTCAGTGAAACAGTTTATCGTATGACACACATTTGTTAACAGTAAAGTGTATATCTATTGCTACATCAGATACAGGAAATCATGTACTGAATTCAAGTGAGATGGAGACAGCATGTACCCCTGTATGGCAATAAATCCATTTAATTTCTATTGCCAACTCATCTGCCTACCATCAGGTAGGATAAAAACAAGAGAGGTATTGTAGGGAAGACTAAAGGGAAAGCACAACATTTGGTTTTACTTAGTTTATTTCACGTGCCTCTTTATACATTCTGTTGGTATCAGCATATTCTGGAAAGTGTCACTTTGTGCATTAGAGAGAACTTGGCTGAAGTACCAATAACCTTTGAAAAACTAAGATGCCTCACAAAACTTATTTTTGTTTTGATAACTATCTAATCAAAGAGAATTAACATTTTTAGAGCACTACTATGTCAGACAGTTTACATCATAAATATGTTATGCTAAAAATAAATTCATTTGAACTGAACTGTACAAGGTCTACACTGTACTATGAAACATTGAAGGCCAATATTTTGTTTTGTAAACTATTACATATGTATAATTTACCAGTTGTAATCATAAAAGAAATGATTCTGTGATTTCAGTAAAAGTAATAAATATAACCTGTATCATAGGTCCAAATGCTTGTTTCATATGGTATATTTGTGGACTGCCATTTACCATTTGTGTCCCACTAAAGATGCAGGAGCTGCAAGAGACTGAGGTGATCCCTAAATTAAGGCAAACTTCACTTTTGGTATGATATATATTAAGGTATACTTCACTTTTGTTATGGTAGGATGGAGTTCTGTCAAAATGCAAGTGTTTGGCTTTTGTTTTTGTTTTAATTATGAAGTGTAGCAGAAAAGTAAGCAGAAAACAAACTTCAGTGGCCTTTGGAGTCTTAGGCAAAGCTCCCATTTGCTGCAGTCCAGAAACATGGTGTACTGCGTGTCTCTTGAGCCTGGGCAAAGCCTCCATGAATGAAAGCCATGTCTAAAAGCATTGTCCTGAGAGTTGCAAACAGTGTTCATAATGAGCAATATAAACCAATCTAAGAGTAGGAAAAAAAAAAATGCCAGAATGGGTGATAGAACTGTGTGATGAGTGTAGAAGTGGCAGTATTGCATATGTAGCTTAGGAAATTAAAACACTAATTGGAGCGTTGTGCTGGAGAGATAGAATTACATGCTCTAAATGAAAGGTGGCCCTTACAACGCGTTATTGCCAAGACTTACTTTTTAATACAACAGTATTGTAATTTGTTAAAGTTCAATTTTCATGCCCTTTTCTAACTTATGCCTTCTCATTCAGTGACACTAAGTTGAAATTCTTAATTGTCCCCAAAATGGTATACTTTTACTAAAAGTGAAAGGATCTCTGTCAGTTTACATATTTTATCTCATGTGTGTGTTTAATCTATTGACTGATGACATTTTTATGCATTTTGGGTTTTGTCAAATTTATAGCAAGGTTTATTTAGCTTTTTTATTTTATTTTGTTTTACAGATCTAAGTGAACCTGGTTCTTATTTACAGGAATTATTTATTTATGTTCAGGAATAATTTTTCTTCCCAGCTTCTTTGCACAATGGCAGTGAAGCTTTATGGAGCTGCCACTACCTATATAGACTAGCCCAAGGTCTTTAGAAAAATGTGGTTAATAATCTGTTACACAACATATAAATCCATATAAATCTATTTGAGCAACATTACAAGAGAACTAGCCTGCCAGGAATTGGTAATCTATCTATCTGTCTCTCTGTCTGTCTATCAATATGCAGATATACAGGCAATATTACATATTTTTATATATTCTCTACATACATAAAATTGTTTCAGAATGTCATGCTTATACACTAGATATTTATAAGGCAGGTCATTGCACATAGGAAAGAATAGGAACTATGTTTTCAAAATCAGTAAAGAGTACAGGGAAATACCTGTGCTAGAATACAGTTTTACCATTTAACTTGCTTAAAAGGTTTGGAGACTTGAAAAATTCATTATACACTCTCTTTGGTTACAGATTATTGTCAGCTTGCTTTCTGCATCTTTCC